CCCCAAAACCCCAAAACCCCAAAACCCCAAAACCCCGGGATTGTAGGACACTTTTGAAATGTAGGACCAAGATTCATGGGATGAAATGATCGGCCTGAAGAAGTTTAGGTTTGGTTAACATGTTACGTGACGTTGATATAGAATCGATTAAAATCTAAGTTTTTCCGATAATTCTCCTTGGAGAGATGCTGTTTAATAGCCCTTCCGATGATCTTATCGCTTGAGAGTTTGTAGGTGAGTGTATAAGGCTCTGATTTAACCTTCCATACCTCTTTTAAGGTGTCTTCTTTCTTTATAATAGTCTCTTTAATTTTGGAATTTATGATTTGTTCATCCTTGAATATTCCAGATTTTGCCAAGAACAATCCTCCAATGAGGAAATGTTCCCCATAGGTTTCTTGTATTATAATCTTTGCATCAAGCAACTTCTTTATTGCTTCTTGGCATTTCATCTTAAGCTCAAACATCTTTTTAAAAAGAACTTTTCTGAGGAAATTGAATTGGTTCTTTGTTGGGTTCAGTGAAGCCACAAAGAGATCAAGCTCATTCAACTCGTGGCTCTCCATGAACTCAGGGATCTGATACTTAGTCCTACTATTGAGCTTCTTGATTATATTGTAGTCAGTGGTGTATTCTTCAGTCAGGTCTTTCCAATATGGAGGAGTTGAATTCCCATGAATGTTATTGATCAGCATTTTTATAGCTGAATCAACGAAAGACTTGTGCTTTTCAAGTAGTTTCCAACATTCATCATCCCAGATATCAGCAAGAGGCTTTGGATTTTCCTTCTTATCGAAGGTTTCAAGGTCAATAACATTAGACCAAACCTTTCTGAGGACTTTATCATATTCATTGATCGGAACCTTAGAATTCATTGGGTTATCTTTCTGACTCTCTGATTTGTTTTGATTCAGCAAATTTAAAAGTCGAATGTTTTCCTTTTCAAGGTATTTTACTCTAGTCTCGAGTTCTTCAAGATATTCCTTCTTCCTCTTTCTTGCTTTTCTTGACCTGATTCTATTCCTAAGTTTCTTTTCCATTTTATTTGGATCTAGTTGTTCGCTATTTTGGCTTAATTTAGGTTTATCCTTTGTCTCTTCTAAGTTTTCTTGTGGTTTGATTTCTGAAGTCAAGTCTTCCTTCCAAACACCTATTTTTAACATATCAGAAGTTTGAGCATAAGATGAAATATGGTAATAACTCAATGCTTTTTATGATATTTAGTCTGCTGCCTTGAAATAAAGACATTTCTATGATTTCTAGCAGTTTATTAATTATACATCTAATATAGCACATCTTCTCTTTAATCGCTCCTCAAACCCAATCACCACTTACCAAAATCATATTCCTCCAAAATTGATTCATCAAAAATTTCCTTAAAAAGAGTTAAAATCGTCAAAATCACAATCCGTAAAAACCCACATCCCTCTCCTCCCCCTCCTATTTGCTCAAACCCCATCTAACCCCCCCTATCTCTCCTCCTTACCTTCCTTTCTACCCCAATCTCTTGCTCAAGTCCTTGCCACCCAAACAACATAAACCCCCTTTATTTCTAATTATTCTATAACCTCCCCCTCATATGGGGTTTTGGGGTTTTGGGGTTTTGGGG